TGGGAATATGGGATTGGGAAATTGAATTAGGAATAATACAGGAATGGGAATATGGGATTTGGAATATGGGATTTGGAATATGGGAATGGGGATATGGGCTTGGGAAATGGGATTTGGAATATGGGGAAAAAAAAGAGGAAAAAAAGAGGAAAAAAAGGGAGAAAAGGGGGGAAAAGAAGGGAATAGAGGGGAAAAGAAGGGAATAGAGGGGAAAAGAAGGGAATACAGGGAACAGGAAGGGAATAAAAGGGAAAAGGAAGGGAATACAGGGGAAAGGAAGGGAATAAAAGGGAAAAGGAAGGGAATAGAGGGAAAAGAAGGGAATAAAAGGGAAAAGGAAGGGAATAGAGGGAAAAGGAAGGGAATAAAAGGGAAAAGGAAGGGAATACAGGGAAAAGGAAGGGAATAAAAGGGAAAAGGAAGGGAATAGAGGCAGGGAAGGAGGCAGGGAATGCAGGAAGAGCCCCAGGGAAGCAGCGCGACCTCAGCAGAGCCAGGCCCCACTTCCCACATCCCCAAGCCAAGCAGAGCAGCAGCCAGGCAGATCCCAGATCCCAGGCAGATCCCAGATCCCAGGCAGATCCCAGGCAGAAGCCAGACCCCGGGCAGATCCCAGATCCCTGGCAGATCCCTGGCAGATCCCTGGCAGACCCTGGGCATTTCCTGGGCAGATCCCATATCCTGGGCAGATCCCAGGCATTTCCCGGGCAGACCCTGAGCAGATCCCAGAGCCCGGGCAGATCCCAGATCCTGGGCAGACCCTGGGCAGATCCCAGGCAGATCCCAGATCCCGGGCAGACCCTGGGCAGATCCCATTTCCTGGGCAGATCCCAGACCCTGGGCAGATCCCAGACCCTGGGCAGATCCCAGGCAGATCCCAGACCCCGCGCAGACCCTGGGCATTTCCTGGGCAGATCCCAGATCCCGGGCAGATCCCAGACCCCGGGCAGATCCTGGGCAGACCCTGGGCAGATCCCAGATCCTGGGCAGACCCTGGGCAGATCCCGGGCAGACCCCGGGCAGATCCCGGGCAGACCCTGGGCAGATCCCATATCCTGGGCAGATCCCAGACCCCGGGCAGATCCCAGGCATTTCCTGGGCAGACCCTGGGCAGATCCCAGGCATTTCCTGGCCAGATCCCGGACCCCGGGCAGATCCCGGGCAGATCCCAGATCCCGGGCATTTCCCGGGCAGACCGTGGGCAGATCCCCGATCCCGGGCAGATCCCGGGCAGATCCCGGATCCCGGGCAGATCAAGGGCAGCGGGCCGTGCGGGGCCAGGCTCACCTTCTGGGCCCCGGAGAAGGCGTGGTAGAAGCAGGAGACGTAGGTCATGATGGCCTTCTCGTCGGGCCGCAGCGTGCCCACGATATCTGCCCGGGGAGAGCGGAGGAGAGCCGCGGCTCCAGCAGCATTCCCGAAATCCCAGCGCGGGCTGGGAACGCCGGGAACGCCGGGAACGCCGGGAACGCCGCCCGGGACGGCTCACGGGGGGTTTGTCCCACCCGGGCCCGGCTCCTCAACGCCCCGGCAGCCGGAGGGGCTCCCCGGAGCACCGGGCATCTCACGGGGCTTGCCCCCGGATTCCCTCGGAATTCCGTGGGATTCCAGTCGATTCCCATGGATTCCCATGGATTTACCGTGGATTTACCATGCATTCCTACAAATGTCCTATGGATTTACCACGGATGCCCATGGATTGCCATTAATTTTCCATGGATTACCATGGATTTACCATGCATTCCTACAAATGTCCTATGGATTTACCATGGATGCCCATGGATTCCTACACATTTACCATGGATTCCCATGGATTCCTACACATTTCCCATGGATTCCTACAAATGTCCTATGGATTTACCACGGATGCCCATGGATTGCCATTAATTTCCCATGGATTAACCATGCATTCCTACAAATGTCCTATGGATTTACCATGGATTTCCATGGATTTCCATTAATTTCCCATGGATTACCATGGATTTACCATGGATTTCCCATGCATTCCTACAAATTTCCTATGGATTTACCATGGATTCCCATGGATTTCCACTCATTTCCCATGGATTACCATGGATTTACCATGGATTCCTACAAATGTCCTATGGATTTACCACAGATGCCCATGGATTTCCATTCATTTCCCATGCATTCCCATGGATTTCCCTTGGATTCCTACACATTTCCCATGGATTCCTACACATTTTCCATGGACTTCCATTAATTTCCCATGGATTTACCATGCATTCCTACAAATTTCCTATGGATTTACCATGGATGCCCATGGATTTCCATTCATTTCCCATGCATTCCCATGGATTTCCCATGGATTCCTACACATTTCCCATGCATTCCCATGGATTTACCATGCATTCCTACACATTTCCTATGGATTTACCATAGATTCCCATGGATTCCTACACATTTCCCATGGATTCCCATGGATTTACCATGGATTTACCATGCATTCCTACAAATTTCCTATGGATTTCCCATGGATTCCCATTCATTTCCCATGCATTCCCATGGATTTCCCATGGATTCCTACACATTTCCCATGGATTTTGCATGGAGTCCCATGGATTCCTACACATTTCCCATGGATTTCCATGGAATCCCGTGGATTCCCAAGGATTTCCCACAGATTCCCATGGATTTACCATGCATTCCTACAAACTTCCTATGGATTTACCATGGATGC